CAAATCCAGGAGGTTGTGACACGTAAACTTCTTCTTCTAATGGACCATTCAGAAATGCAGATTTTACATCTAAATGCATCAGAGGCCAATTCCTGTTAGCAGCTATTGCAATCACCATTCTGATTGTTTCATGTCTTGCTACAGGTGCAAACACTTCAGAATAATCCAGCCCAGGTTTCTGTAGAAATCCTCTGGCTACCAACCTTGCTTTATGTTTGCCAATTGAACCATCTGGCTTTAACTTCTGCTTGAAAACCCATCTGACGCTGATGGCTTTCTTGTCTTTTGGAAGTTCTGTCAGCTTCCAAGTCTTGTTTCTCTCTATAGCATCAAGTTCTTCTTTCATGGCCTTCAGCCAGAGCTTCTGCTTAAGAGCCTCCTCTGTACTTATAGGTTCAGAGTCTACTAACATGGCACACTGAATAACTTCTCCTTCAGAGTCTACTTCAGTGTCTTGCAGCATGTCAAATTCTGCAAATCTTCTGGGAACGCTTCTGATTCTTTGTGGTCTCTGAACTTGTTCAGAGTCTTGAGCTTCAGATGATTGACTTTCTCCAGAGCTTTGACCGACTTCAGGATCTGGCATATTTCCAGAGTCTTGAACTTCAGAATTTCTAGCTTCAGAAGCTTGACTTCCTCCAGAGCCTTGGCCATCTTCAGAGTCTGAATTTCCAGAGTCTGAATTGCCACCAAGATCTGGATTGTCATCAGAGTCTGAATCACCAGAGTTTGGGTCATCAGAGTCTGGGTCATCAGAGTCACCTTCATCTTCTGAGTCTTCTTCAGAGTTTGAATCAGTATCAGAGTCATCAATTCTTAACTCTGACCTTTCTTCAGAAGTTCTAACATCAGAATCAGATTGAGACTTATCCCAATTCCAAACTTCTGATTCCTTCACAATCACATCTCTGCTGAATTCAATTTTATTGGTTTCTGGACAATAGAGCTTGTATGCACCTGTACTGTGGTACCCTATCAGAATCATCACTTTGCTTCTATCATCCAGCTTCTGTCTTCTGGCTTCTGGAACATGTTTATAGCAAACAGAACCAAATACCTTCAGATGACTAACACTTTGCTTGTCTCCAGTCCACTTCTGCATAGGAACTATTTCCTTCAACTTCTTAGTAGGACATCTGTTGAGTACATACGTTGCAGTGGCAACAGCTTCTCCCAGAGCTTCTGAGGAAGCTTCTTCTCCTTTAGCATGCTTCTCACCATATCAAGCAAAGTACGGTTTCTTCTTTCAGCAAGACCATTGTGTTGAGGGGTATAAGGAGCAGTAACCTCATGCTCAATTCCATTCTCCTCACAGAACTTCTGGAACTCTTTGGAGTTATACTCACCTCCACCATCAGTTCTAAGAATCTTCAACTTCTGACCACTCTGATTCTCAGCCTTCATTCTGAACTTCTTGAATTCATCAAACACCTCGTGTTTGAACTTAATAAGGGATACCCATGTCATTCTTGTGAATTCATCAACAAACAACACAAAGTATTTATTCCCTCCAATTGATGCTACTGGAAATGGACCACACACATCAGAATGTATAACTCCCAAGGCATGTTTTGCTCTTGGAGCAACTTCTGATGCAAATGGCAATCTTGGTTGTTTTCCTTCCATGCAAACTTTGCATGACTTTTCAGGCTTCTTAATTGCAGGAATTCCATGTACCAATTTCTTTGAATTCAGATGTTGTAAGCTTCTGAAATTCAAATGACCAAATCTTCTGTGCCACAGCTCACTCTCCTTCTCAGCACATGTTGCACTAAGACATTCTGAGTCTGCAGTTCTGACATTCACCTTGAATGTTCTATTCCTTCCCTGTTCTGACTCCATAATCAACTTCTGATTACAGTCATACAGCTTCAGAAGATTGTCCTTCATGGTAACTGAGAAACCTTTCTCAATTAATTGTCCCACACTCATCAGATTGCTTCTGATGCCAGGTACATACCACACGTTCTGAATCAATGCTGTTTTCCCATTGTTCAGAGTCACTCTGACATTTCCCATACCTTCTGCATTAAGATATTTGTCATCAGCACATCTGATCTTTGTCCTCTTTTCAGAGTCAAAGTCAACCAGCCATTTCTTGTTTCCAGTAAGATGATTTGAACAGCCAGTGTCCATATACCACCAGTCTGTCAGATCATCAGATTCAGAGGCCATCAATAGCACAGATTCGTCATCAGAACTTCTGGCTATATTTGCTTCTTCTGATTTCTTCTCCTTGTTTGACCAACAATCTCTAGCAAAGTGACCAAACTTCTTACAACAGTAACATTGTATTTTTCTTTTGTCATACTTCTCTTTTCCCCTCTGAGCATTCTTTTGTCTATCAGAGGTTGAGCTTTCTGACTTCTGACCACCATCAGATCTTCTCTTGGCTTCTGACTGCTTCTGATACCTCCTATCAGAAGTTGCTTTCAGAGCCTGCTGCTCTACTTCCCTTTCAGAAGTTCTCTCAGTCAAACGCAACTCTTGCGCTTCTAGACTGCTCTGCAGCTCTTCAATTCTCATGGTGCTCAGATCTTTGGAATGTTCTATTGCTACCACAATGTAATCAAATTGAGGAGTAAGGGATCTCAATACCTTCTCCATGATTGTTTCTTCAGAAAGAGTTTCTCCACACGCCTTCATCTCATTAGTGATCAGAATCACTCTGGAGATGTATTCAGAAACTTTCTCATTATTCTTCATGTTGAGATTCTCATATTGCTTTCTCAAGGACTGAAGCTTCACCTTCTTCACTGATGCGTCACCACCATAACATCTCACCAGAGTGTCCCATGCAGCCTTTGCTGTTGTAGAGTCTGCAATCTTCTCAAACACGTTTACATCCACACATTGATGAATGAAGAACAATGCTTTCTGATCCTTCTTCCTTACTTCTTTCTGCGCGTTTTTCTGTTCATCAGTTGCATCTGCTGCTACTGGAACATAACCATCAGTGACAAGATCCAGAACATCTTGAGCACCAAACAGTACACGCATTTGGATCATCCAACGATTCCAGTTTTTACCATCAAATACTGGAAGTTTGGTGTTCATGTTGCCGTTTCCGTTCATCTTCTACTTTGCACAATACACTCAGATTTCTCACACAGTGTTTCCCAACCCACAGAATTTTAAAATTCTGATCAGATTTTTGTTCAAGATTCAACGTGAATCTAAGAAACAAAATCAATCACACAAGACCTCACGTTCACTCGTGTTTCCCGTGTTTCCCAATGAATCTGAACCGGAGCTCTGATACCAATTGTTGGTGCAAAGATAGAATAATGAAAATAGGAAAATATTACTAATAAGAGAATGACGGCTACAAAACATGATGATTGTTACAATGATTGTCACCCTATTTATAAGCTAAAAACTAGGGTTACTAGAATAAGATAAAATACTAAAATACCCTCTAACAAACTTAGGGGCCAAGAAAATAGTACAACTAGTACAACTAAATAAATATGAATTATTAATAATATTCTAATACTAACGTATTAAAAATTTGTCCAATTTTAGACTTTAATTCTTCATCACACTGATGACAACCATTCTTTTATTAGAAAAATACATAATATTTTGGTTAAAAATATATTAATCATGACTGACAAATATAATGAACTAATATGTCCTAAAAAATTTACAAACAAAAGTACCTGTGATGTTTTTAAAATAAGTCTTTCTTTCACGCTAATTGGTTCGTAAACATCATTTTCATGTGGATTCAATCTTAAAAGAGTAAAAAAAATACATAATTAATAATTACAAAAAAATATTATAAAAGTAATACAGAATATATATTAAGAAGATGTTGCATACCTTTCTATATTATTTTCCATTATGATTACAAGATCATTATAGAGAGAGGGGATTAAAGACCAGGAATAATAATAATAATAATTATTATTATTATTATTATTATTATTATTATTATTATAGTAATGCAAAATACTTTTTTCTCTTAACTATATTTTTAAATTTAAATTAATTTCTTAACCTTTTTCGTGTCACATTCATCGCTTAATTTTTAAATTGTATCGTGTTAGTCTTTTTTATCTAATTAGCGACGAATTTAACGATTGATTTTTGAATTTTTTCATAAAAAATAATTAAAGAACCAATCTGATCTGAAAAAAAATCAAGAGACTAATCTGAACTTAAAGTATAGTTAAAAAACAAAAAAATACATATTTTGCCTAATAATAAAATAATAGCTGAAAAAAACAATTAAAATTAATATTTAAAAACACACTAAATTAATAAGTTTCATAATAATATAATAAAGTTTACGTTAAGGGAATATATTTGTTTAATAGAATATATCATATTAAAACATATACGAGCAAATTGGTTAAGTTTGGTTCTGTTTTAAAAAATAATAATCTTAAACTGATTCCGAACAATTTTCACCAATAGAAGTATTCAAACAAATCTTTTTAATATTTGATTTTGTTCAATTTTTAATTTTTTTTTCCTTCTATTTTTGAATCAATTTGAATTTAATTCCCCCAATCCCCTATTATGTATTCACTAAAGTTCCTTGATACTTGATTAGGAATTTCTGCAGCATTTTACATCTCAATATAGACATCTAACCAACATTGTGTTGGCATTGAGTTTGATAAGCTCCAAAGTGTAGTGTTTAGCTTTTTTTCATAATCACGGTGACTCAACGTGATTTTGCTAATCTCAGTCATAATTGTGTAACTGAGTTGTTTTAACCAAACTTGAAAAACAGGCAAGAATAGCGATCAAGTAGACCAAAAAAAAAAAATAAAGTATTTCAAGAGTTTGATTAAAGATATGATAATACAGACGATATCGTCAAAAAGTACCGTTTGTGATCTAACAAGATTCTCTGGAAGCTACAAACCCCCCAACCCAGCTTCCCTTTTAGTACACAGAAGAACTGCAAAATTACTATAATTTTCTACATAATGCCTATGGAATCAAGACAATAAGCTCTAGAAGCCTTGAGAGGACAAACAAAATGCCTACTCGCACTTAATTGATCGGTATATGTGACGGACAAAGAACAATGCAGCACGGAATCCAACTGTACCAAGCATCAAGAAGAAACCATAGCATATGCAGGCCATGTATCCAAAGAAAAATGAGGTCTGCATGAATCCAGACATATCCGACCGTGCATAGTAGTAATACAGACAGTAAGCATAGATAAATAATCCAGTCGAACCACCGCATAGGAATGATCTGTGAGGAAATAAGAACACCGGTTAAATGTGCAGAGTATCACATCTTCTAATTAGCAAGTTAAAATGAATATATTTTAGAAAATTAAAATAGAAAATGTTATCACAAAGTAAACACTAAACAGGACTTTAATATCCATAGTCATTTTTAAAGTTCATGCATTTTGATCTATCATCACAACTCATTTTCAGTGGAAATGTGTTATATGAAGGAGATCAAAAAACAAGTATCTTCATAATTCATACTTACTACTTAATCCAACATGATTAACTACATCAGTTATATTATCAAAGAGATTGCTAATTGAGAAATCAGTTCACTTCTAAATGCTAATAGCTAGCCCATACGAATTGGTGCAGGAAAGAACTTTAACGAAAAAATAGTTATTTCATACCTCCACCACCATTCATGGTCTTCAGCAGCAAGCTGGAAGTATGTCAATGCCACAGTAATGAAAGCAGTAACAATCAAGAGAATGATGAAGACAATAAACAAAATACTGTAGATTGTGTAAATTCTGTGACCCCAAACACTGGCAAATATATAATAAAGTTCGATGTATATAGCACTGAAAGGCAAAAATCCTGCCATCGCCATCTGAGGAATTGATCCCCGATACCATGGCAAAGGAGGAATCTCCCTTGGATATTTAGTTGTGCGGACAGGAGCTTGAAATTCAGCCTTGCTGTTCTTCCCAGCAATTCCTCCCAATACAAGTAAAGGAGAAGTAACAAGTGTCCATATGAGAACTATAACGACAATTGTGCCGAATGGGAGAGCAGCAGTAGCATTGTAGACAATTGCAACAGTGTTCAGAAAGCAAAATGTCAGAAACAGTGGTCCACAGAAAAGGCATCCGGTCAATAGCAGATTCCGAACCTGTCATGGTAGAAGGACAGAGATGAAATCACTAATGAGTTAAAACAAGTGCAGCAAATTTAATGGATTCTGAACTAAATTGCACGGAAATGCAAGTCAATACCCAGTTTGTTCCTTCCAGTTGACAATAGAATGAGGTTGCAGTATAGCCAGCAATTCCTGAAGTCAGTGCATATATGACAACAAGTGCAGTGAATAGAGCCCCGCGGTTGTATGGATAAAACACACCAACAAGTGCCAATATGAATATGAACACCGTACTGAATGCATAAATACAATTTATTAATACTAAAATATCACAACATAATTGTCCCAAAATGAGCATCTATAATTGAGACATTTTGATTGGCCAGAAGAAACTCACAGGGTAAACAGTTGGGTACCAGATCCAAGGGCAGCTGCAAATACAGACTTGAACTTGGGAAACCTAAAAACATCACCGTGGATGTATTTCCAGCCGGTCTCTTCCTGATCCTCTGCAGTCTCCTCATCATGTGCATACCTAGTGAGAAGTCAACCACGGACAATATTTATAGCTCATAAAAAGAACTGATTATATAAATTGCCTAGCTTTATCACATTCAATGAAAACCTAAAACACCAATAAACAACGCATCTTACTTGACAAAATCGTTCTTAAGGACCCGCATTAAAATAGTTGCAAGAAAACCAGTCAAGAGGAGGACTGTGACACACGAATTGATAATCGAGAACCAGTGGATTTCCAAATGATGGGGAAGAGAAGATGACTGAGCGTACTTGTCCATCCGCTTCTCAAAGGGTGTGTTGGTCTCCTTCCATTTCACGGTATACAGAAACTCTACATCAACTTCATTATCCTCGGTAACATCTACAAGGGCATTCTGATCTGTTCGCACATTGATCTCAATAACACGATCCTTATTATAAAAGATATCAAAATGGATGTGCTTGTAAAGATAGTATCTATAATCACTAGGATCCTTCCCTTCTTTATCAACCTTCCCTATGAAACCCCAAATAGGCAAATCATCGTAATACATTTGAAAGTAGTAATCCTTACGAACAGCGGCACGAAACTTGCCCACATCTTCCTTTGTAAGTGTCTTCTTGCAAACCAAAACAGAGTCCTTGTCCCGTTGGAATTCAAGCTGATAAGGAGCACTTACCAAACGATCCCCATTCAACACTTCACCTAGTGCTTCCTTCTTCTCTTTCAAATGTTCTACAAACCAAACCCTCAAACAATTCAACACCCCAAAAACAAAATATCTCAAAATACAAACAAATTCAAAATTCGGATCTTCCAAAGTAAGAGAAATATAAAAAATCAAGCCATCTTAACTATCGACAAGAAAATTAGCTGTGGTATTTTGGCAAGTATATTGCATACCACATTGCATATCTGGACCATCCAATATTTTGATCAATTGGTTCATGCTTTAACTTGGTGATTTGAATCCTTTTTGCAAAGTTGGAATAAAAGCCATTTGATTCTAAATTCTAATAACTAAGAAAAAACATGATTTTTCTAACCAAAGGGAATCCAAGTCCGATAACCATTTGCATCTAATATTATCTGATAGCCAACATAAAACTTTGTCGAATATCTATGACACCGGATCTAATATTATCAACCTTGATCATCTCATCATAATTAAAATCAATGTTTTAAAAAGCATCATTGACCCCAATTATTTTGACCATCACATCAAGATTTTAAGAATCTGTCTTAAGAAACCGCCATCGACCCCAATTATTTTAGGCCATCACATCAAGGTTTTTGATGTTTTAGCGGCAAAATCAAACCTTGATATCTTCACAACTACAATTATGGATGCATCACGCCACCAACTGTATTTAACTGCAATTGTAGCAGCATCAACTGTATTTAACCCCAATTTCCCGCAATAAAACGATAACAACATAACCATAACTTCAAATTTCAAATTAAAACCTTGAATAACCACGGATTTAAATTTAAAACCATAAATAACAAAACACTACTAGTAAAAGAATTGAAGAAAAAACTAACCTGGCAAACAGAATGGGAGATCAAAATAACGATAAGTCTCACTGAAAACAAAAATCAACACATTAATATCAAATCAAACACATTATTATTAATATTAAATAACAAATCGAAAAAACTAATGAAAAATTAATGAATCTGAAGGTAATTTTACAGAAAAACGAAAACAGATCCAGCACGTGCAATGCGCGTGAACAACGGATCGGAGTAGAGCAACGAACTACCTGGGATTATGAAACGGACCAACTTTGTTAGCGAAAAGAGGAACGGGATCTGCTTCTTTGAAACGGTGATCTGACGAATCAGATCTGACGGTGGAAATGAGAGAAGAAATTGCGAAGGCGATGATGAAAAGAAGCTTCATCTTCGCCATTAACGAATGGTAATTAGTTCAACCAAAACGAATCTGAGTTATAATGGAAATTTGAAACGATACGAGTCAAGTGAAAGTGAAGAAAGAAGGGTCAAAGAGATTAGAGAGAAAGAGAGAGAGGGGGCGTATATATGAAGAAAAAGAATGGGGTGTGTTGGTAGAAAAAAGAAGAGGAAGATGAGTTATAGTGAAGTGACGTAGACTCGTTGCCTTACTCTTATGTTTGGTGCTTCACCTCATACAGCTTTTTATTGTTTGTTAGTTTGTTAATTAAGGAAATTGACCATTAATTTATTTGTACACGCTAAAATAAAAATAAAATCTAACTATTTACTAAAAGAGTATTTACAAGATAAAAAAAAGTCATGTTGACGAATATTTCAAATTAAAAAAATTCTGCATCTTTTGAATTTTTTTTCTAACATCACCACTATTTTCAAATTAAATATTAAAATAATTACCTTTTTAAATTATTTTTAGAAAAAAAAATTAAACTGCAAAAGAAGTAGCCAGGATAAATGATGCATGCATTGCATTTTTGACCTAAGACATCAATCTTAGTGGTGCATGGAGTGGCTAGTGCTTTGTTTATCAATTCTATAAATATTGCATTTCCTCCCCCATTATTTTTCACATATTTTCTAACTATTGCCTTCTCTTTTTTTTTAAATATTTTCATATATGTGTCCTTATATTCACAAAAGAAATGTCGATTTAATTTATTTTGCAGTAAAACCTCTGATTAAGATTTAACTCTAAAATACAAAGACGTTTTAGTATTTTAATAGAAGCTTGACCGTTTGTTAGATGGAGATATTGCAGAGGGTGAAAATAGCTGGGTTAATACATATTCTCCTCTTCTCATGTAGGCACTTTTTGGAGAAAAAAAACTGTAAAAAAATAAGTTTGATAAATTTTTTTAACATTTGAAGATTCTCTCAATTTTGACCTTCATCACATCCAGTCATCAAAAAAGTTTACGTGACAGTTTTTTATTTTTATTTTTTATTTTGTTTACTGATGTGGATGGCCAAGTGGCTTTTTATTTTAATTTATTATTATTATTAATGTCATGTTGGCATTTCATTTTATATTAAGTTTCTATTTATGTTAGAAAACATGTTAAATACTCAAAATTGGTGGGGATGAGTGTTAAACCCACAACACTTACAATATAAGGCCAACGCCTTTCCAATAGATTGGTTGTCTAGTCATGCAATTGGTGCACATTTAATTATTCTTATAGCATGTGTTTAACCCCCCCTTTTTCGAGCATCATCTTAATAGGATTTTGATCCGTTTGTTAGATGGAGACATTGTAGAGGGTGAAAATATCAGAAGAATTCAAAGGCTTGTTACCATGTTCAACGACAATGGAGAAAGTCGTTTCTGGGACAATGTTAAAACTGACAAAGATGTTCGCATGATGATGTACAGTTCTCAGTCCTTGGGAAATTGTCCTGATGGTTGTAATCACATAGTTATGTTGTTTAGTCTTTGTATTTGTTTGTTTTGTTGTTTAATTATTATTTAAATTATTGTTCAGTTGCAGTTAAAATTGTTGTAATCAAATGTTATGATATTTATGAAATGAACGTTGTTTTCAATATAAAGTAAAATGATTACATACAAAATTATGTCGTTGTACTTGGTCCAACATTGGGACAGTTTGTACGATTGTGTTCGGGCTGACGACATGAACTACATAATCTCACCATTTTGTTTGTCGTATTCATTTTGGTTCGAATAACGTGCTGTTAGAGCGACCCTTTTTCTTTCTTCACATTTTTTCATTGTGTCTGACTATCTCCCCTTGATATGTAGGCCAATAATCCTATTTTGCTATCACCGAAAAGTTATTGTTGTAAACATTGCATAGGTTTATGACTTTGTAAACTCCAGATAGTAAGTTGGAAGGGTCCTGCTGAGCCTTTAAACATGTCGTTATGGCATGAGAGTAAGGCATATAAAAGACTTGAAACTTTTTGCAGTTGTATCAACCTCTATCTAGTTCCACTCAATAGTATCATCCCCTTGGCCTCCCTTCATTGTGATCCTTAACTCATCAACACTAAACCAACTTTTTTGACGATTCAATGTCCCAATTCAACCAACCATATCATCCACACATAAACTCAACCAGAAAGACCCAACTACGATAATATGGGCACCAAACACGGTTACGGCAGCGCCGTTGGCGACATCCCCGGGTTATTGGGGAGAAATAATTGAAAAAAATTTAATACGCCAAGAACCTCGCATCAACCACCTTTTCTTTAGGGCAATACTCAAAGACCTCAAACACCTCAAGAAAATCGTCGGAGACCTCGAAGACAGACGAATGCACCGGAATGTGGAACTGAGAGATGTTTCAATCGGGCAGGTCATTGATTTTACATTCAATCGTTATGTAATTGAATTTTATTAAATAATATTATAAATTATTTTTTAACTTTCTTTTTTATTTCAATTTTTTAAATTAAAATTATTATAAATTATAAATAAAAAAACAAAGCAATAGTTGTGGTGCATGCTCCTATTGCATGCGCCACTTGCAGATGCATCATGTGTGTGCATTCGTCATTAGGAGTAATGCATATGTGCAAATGATCAATGCATGCGCCATTAGGAGTAATCCCTTTTGGATTTTCGACTTAGTGAGCTATTTTTTTCTCAAGCATAATATCTTTTGACTACATCAGAACTCACTAGGAGTAAAAATTCTTCGCCATCCATTATTGTAAAAAATAGATCTCTTCTAGATAAGGTTTTCTTTATAACGTAGAGGCCTCCGTAGTTTGGAGTCCACTTTCTGCGTGAATCTCTGTGTATAGGCAAAATATTTTTGAGCACAAGATCACCTTCTTTGAATTCTCGAGGATGGACCTTCTTGCCAAACTCCCTATTGAGTTGTTTATGATACAGTTGTCCATGACAGATAGTTGTCACACATTTTTTCATCAATGAGATTCAACTGGTCAAACCTGTTTTGAATCCATTTCAGCTTCTTCTAGCCCGGCCTCCATCAGTATTTGCATAGATGGGGTTTCCACTTCAATAGGGAGTACTACTTTTATACTGTATACCAAAGAGAATGAGGTTACCCCTATTGATGTGCAAAGAGATGTCTGATATTCGTGCAATGCAAAGAGTATTATTTTGTGTTAATCCTTATAGGTTTTCACCATCTTCTGCATGATCTTCTTGATATTATTATTTACTGCCTTTATAGCTCCATTCATATTTGGCCGATACGGGGATGAGTTATGGTGTTCAATTTTGAAGCTCTCACATAACTCTTTGATCATTTTGTTGTCCAGGTTTGACCCATTATCAGTGATCATCTTACTAGGAATTCCATAGCGACAAATTATCTATTTCTTGATAAACTAGGCAACCACATGCCTTATCACATTAGTGTAAAGAGAAGCTTCTACCTATTTGGTGAAGTAGCCAATGGCGAACAAGATGAAACAATGTCCATTTGAGACTTTTGGCTCGACTAGATCAATCATGTCAATGCCCCACATTAAGAATGGACAAGGAAATGTCAAGACATTCAAAGGAGTATGAGGCACATGCACCTTTTCACCATAAACTTAGCACTCGTGGCATGTTTTGGCGTTGCGAATAGAATCTGTTTCCATTGTCAACCAATAATAGACAACCCTTAGATTCTTATTTTCCATGCCATGCCCATTGGCATGGGTCCCAAAGGATCCTTCGTGGGTTTCTTTAACTAACATGTATGATCCGTGTCTATCCATGTATTTGAGCAAAACCATGTCGTGATTTCTTGTATATAACATGTCATTACTTAGGAAGAATTTAGATGCTAACTTTCTCAAAATTTTCTTATCCATAGCTGAAGCATTCGCTGGATATTCCTGTTTTTATAGATAGTATCTGATGTCCTAAAACCATGGTTTTCCATCGGTTTCCTCTTCTACTGATTGAAAATATGTTGGCTTTTTTTACAACCCATTATGCTGATCAGATCTTCATTGTGGAATCTTACTTGGTACATTGGTGACAATGTTTCCAAAGTGTCTGCCACCTGGTTTTCCTCTCTTGGAATATGATAAAAAGTAATTTCATCAATGTACTTCATCAATTCCATGACATAAGCACGATATGGGATCAACTTAGCATGATGGGTTTCCCATTCTCCTTTCACTTGGTAAATAACCAATGTTGAATCTTCATATACCTCCAGGATTTTGATTTTGAGGTCAATTGTAACACCCTTCTAAACCCCGCAGAATAAATATAAATAAATCAGAGTAATTATCATGCATTTCACAAAAGGGTGTTGTTGCACCCCAAAATTTGTCCAACCTTTGCTTAACCTAGCTTGTGTTTCATTGCATACATATTAGCATTATCATCTGCATTACATTGACATGTGTGCAAGAGATCAAGAGGTATGACTACCAACAAAGGGCTACACAAGATTGTGAAGCTATCTAAGAGCCTTATTCAAGTATTCAGGGGTTGATATCCTCATCAATGAAGATAAAGATCCTCAGAGAAGGGGTTGGATATGAGAGTGTATGCCTTCTAACTTGAGAGTTGTGGGAAGTCATCAGATGATTCTGAATCCATGAAGTTGGACTTGAAACCTTGAGAGAGCTCATGAAGAGTGTTGAGAGTCATTTTGAAGCCTATACAGGTCATTATGCAAAGGATAAGGAGCTACAACCAAGATTGGTGTAACTAGGGTTTTCATCTGGTTAACCCTAGGTTAGCTGAGGATTTGAAGAAGGTTGAGACCTAATTGCAATGCTATGTGATCATGGGTTGATGTATTAAGATGTTCAAGGGATGATCCCAAGATCAACTCATCATGAATCAAGAGTGTGAGGAGTTCCTAGGCTAGGGTTTCTAAGCTTGACAGTGTAAAATCCCCTGGTTTAGCGCCTAACTTCAAGACCACATAACTCAAGATGTTATTTTCATCTCACCTTGACCCCCGACATGATTGTTGTAGAGCATGATCA